TAAATGCTAAAAATGCAAAGTACATTATTTTTTATGATTTTTGTTCTTGTAAAACAAACTTAATTGCTCCTAATTGTAGAATTAAATCCTAAATGCAAATGCGATATATTTTTGTATTTTTTATTAATTTAATAAATAAACATGTACAGACAAATACAAATAATTATCCAAAAATGCCACGAAAATTCTCAAAATTGCACACAAAGGAAAATTGTTTTATTTTGAATTTTTGGGAGCAATTCTCACATAGGGCAAAAATCACGAGCTCACAAACAGAATTCGTTATCTGAATTTCTGGTGCGCAGACTGTTAAACAGAGTCATTCTTTTCCTCGATTCGGGATTCAACCGGTGACTTGGGACACCACAAATCTCCCAAGTGGCAACTCTGAATCTTTAAATAAAATTCCATTTTGATTGTCCTTTAATTGAAAAAACTCCCTTTTACGTCCCTTTGCGGGGTAGCTGAAAAAGGAGGTGTGACACCCAGCCCCCTTTTATCCTTAAGGCTTGATACAATATTCCATTTAAGAAGATGCATTTTTTTCTTTATTGAGGTAGTACCCCAAAGAAAATTCCGTTGGTATTGCTCCATTTTATTAAGAATATGCTTGGGAATTTGAATATACTGCATAATATGATTTGGAAGATTGTTCAGGGTAGATTTAGTAAGAGTAGTGCGACCCGTCATTGTAAGTAAATTAGTTTTCCATCCGGCTAACCTATTCTTAAAATTATCTAAGAGGAATTGGAAGTCTTTATTCGTCGGCCGAGTCTGAAACATAGGAAAGCCTAAATATTTTCCAAACGCACTTCCTTCCTTAATAGAGAAGGACTGAGTCACATAAGTTCGATGACTCTTTAAAGAATTTTTAGAGAAATAGACCTTAGACTTATCAAAGTTTATTTTTTGGCCAGAAGCATGAGTGAAGTGATCTAGCACATCTATCATTGCATGACAACTTTTAGTAAATATTTTTGAGAATAGAATAATGTCATATGCAATAAGAGATGTGATATTGACGGACCTTTCCTAGTTATACAAATAGGTTTCCATTGAAGGTAGTCAACTAATAATGGGATGCTACGCGAGAGCATTTCCATACACATTATAAAAAGATAAGGCGACAAAGGATCACCCTGACGAATTCCTCTAGTTGGAGTAAAGTAAGGTGTCCTAGTGCCATTGATCAGAATAGAGATAGATGATGTTGTGACACATGACATGATTAAACTAACCAAAGGTGGGGAAATATTAAAATATAAAAGAGTCCTCCGAATAAAAGACCATTCTAGTCTGTCGAATGCCTTTTCTAGGTCTAATTTTAACAACATGTAGGACGATTTTCCTTTTGCATTCCTAAAGTAATTTAAAGCTTCCTGTACTATAATACCATTATCAGAAGCACGTTTCCCTTGTTGGAAACTCGTTTGGGTAGGTCCTATAATTGTATTAATGACAGGCTTTAACCTATTAACAATGATCTTCGTAATCAGCTTATATAATGTATTACATAAACTTATAGGGCGATATTGCTGGATAGTGGTAGGGCTTTTCACCTTAGGAATAAGACAAACAAATGTTTGATTTAATTCCTGGGGGATTGTCTTAGAAGCAAAGACATTTTGACAAAATAGAGTAACTTTATTGCTAACATCCAACCAAAAAGTTTGATAGAAAAATGGATGGAAACCATCTGGGCCAGGTGCCTTGTAGGGTTTAAAACTAAAGAGAGCACACTTAACTTCCTTATGATCAAGAGGTGAATCCAAAAATTGATGTTCATGATTTGAAAGCGCACAACTATTTAAGTCAAAATAAGCATGAAGGGAAGATAGTTGATCAGTTGTAAATAGCATTTGCTAAAAAGCAAGGATATGTTGGTTAAGTTCACACTGGTCAGTAATCCAGTTACCAACTACTTCCCTTAAACTATAAATTCTATTTCTTCGACGCCTATGAAGAGTAGACAAATGGAAGAATTTGGTGTTCGCATCTCCTGAATTTAACCAATTAATGTGTCATTTTAATTTTCACAATTCTTCCTCTAGACGTAAAATATTACTGAACTGTATAGAAAGATGTGTTTCTAAATTTTGTAGGAATAAGCTAGTAGGGTAGTGAACTGATGCTTGAATTCCTGCTAGTCTTGCTAGCAAAGATCTTTTTTGTTGGAATATATTCCCAAATTCTTGCTTATTCCAAAGCGTAACCACTGCCTGGAATAATTTAGTAGTATCTAGTAATGAGTGATTCCTCGCCCAAACATTCCTAACTAATGCTGGGAATTGCAGGTGAGATGCCCACATTGTTTCAAAGCAAAAAAAATTTTGTTGTACTCTAGGGGAAGATTCTAGGGTAATTAATAGGGGACAGTGGTTCGAAAAGGTTCGTGGGAGATGTTTAACCACAGCGTCTGGGTACAAATTTAGCCATTCATAATTTTCTAAGAAACGATCAAGTCTTTCTAAAATTGTATTACCATGTCGACGCTTATTAGTCCATGTAAAACGGCTACCATGGAATCCTAGATCAATCAACTTACAATAGTTCAAACAATTCATAAACTTATCCACCCTATTATTGCTTATAGGCAGACCCCCGAATTTTTCCTTTGAATCTAATATTTCATTAAAGTCTCCTCCTAATAACCAAGGCATGCCAATAGTATTATGAATATTAATTAAACTCTCCCAAAGTTTATTACGTACAGTAGATAGATAGTTTGCATAAATAGCAGATAACATCCAAGGTTGTTTATTAGAGTATACCTGGACCATGCAGTGTATTTCTTGCTCAGAAATACGCATCTCTGTCAACTTGATTCCTTGTTCCTTCCATAGCACCACTAACCCACCAATCAACCCATTGGCAAGTACTTGCAACATATGAGTAAAATTAAAATCATCACAGAGTCTGGTGTGATCATTCATGTGAGTTTCAAGGAGAATTGCTAACACAGGTCTATGATTATCTATCAAAGACCTAAAGTGGCGCCTAAACTCAGGATTATGAGATCCCCGACAATTCCAAACCAAGAAATTCATGTAGGAGTTTGGGTTATAGGTTTGTCCTAATGGAAGTGGAGTCATTGGAGTGACATGAGATGCCATCTGCTCTAGAGTCACTACTTGAGTAGGCTGACGAAGTGTGGGAAGAATAACCATGGCATACTTCCCCACTTATGGATTTGTGGTGAGACGAAAATTGAGGCTGTATGCCTCGAGGTCGGGTGGACATTTCAGGACAAACTTTTTTTCGTACTGTTCTTTTAGGTCGTAGAGCATAATTCCCTTTAGCTAGAAGAACTCGGTTCTTGTTTCCCTTATCTCCTCTAATTTTTCTGACAGCTCTTGCCTTGTTGGACTGTCTAATACGTGTGGTGATGGTGGTGGTGTTTGTAGGGGACTCTCCAGGAAGTTGGAGGTGTCTAGAGGAGTCAGTGGGCTGCCATATGGGGATAGGGGATTGAACGAGTGGAGGGACTGAAACCAAGTTGCAAAGACTTGGCCCATGTGATGTGGAGGGTAGAAAGGCATCATGTTGATGACTGGGTTCCTATGCAGATGGACTGGATTCATGGGAGAGGTCCAGTGTTGAGTTGAGGATGATGGTTGAGCCAGTATCTGTAGAGGTGTTTGAGTGGTGAACCACTGATTCTAGGTATAGGCTTCCATGCCCAGACGCATTCCCTCCATTACAATCTCGGCCAGATGAGAGGGATTCTGTATTAGGAAAACTATTTCTTGGTCGTTCATCTCTAGAGTGAAAATTAATGCATAACCTTGTAAACCCATTTCCAACCAAGACTGAAGTGGTTGATCCATTGACATGATCTGAAAGGTGTAAACCATCGGGGTAGAGATGTGTTGCAACTGTGGCCCCTGCATAATCAGCCTTGGTAGATGGAAGAACTGATGGTTGTTTTGAATATTCTCTTGCATAGACATGTAGTGACTGGTTTTTGGAAAAGATGGTCTTTGCATCTTTTGGATTATTGAGAGAGTTGTATGGATACTCGTATATTTGGGATGGAGAAAGAGGATGATTTACCTGACCTGGGGTAAAAATAAGTGGTGAGGCAGGAGGGAGTGTGTGAGTAGGAGGAGTAGATTCACGTAGGTCTTCACATGTTGAGTAATGATTGTGTTTGCATGTAGATGGAGTGTGGGTCTAGTCTAAGTTATCTGGACCTACTGTAGCATGCAAGTGTAGTTGATTTGGACTTGCTGCTGATAGAGACGTGGCTATTAGAGGTGAGGGCAGATAGAATTTGTCTTGTAAGGATTGGTGTTGGGTGGGGACTGGATTATTACGTGGCAATTGTTGCTGCTGTAATTGTGTTAGGGTAGAAGGCTTATTAGAGCTTACTAGACTAGATAAAGAGTGTTGTGGTATACTTAATGCAGTAATAGTTTGTGTAGTAGCATGCTTAGTTGGAATAACCAAAAGTGGGTCAGTAGGTGGCCTCGATTGGTCAGTAGGGTGTAGCTGCATTTGGCCTAAGGTGGATGGTAAAGCATTAACCTTTTGGTCCCAGTTGATTATTTTAGTACCAATACTAGATGACCCCTCCCGAATTGGGTCCAAAATAGAAAGACAATCAAACTTATTAAGGCCTATCTTATTGGGCCTCGTATGGAAGAGGTTCTCAGCAGATGTATGGCCCAGGTGAGGCCTAGTAGGGTTAGTAAACTTACCTGGCTGAAGCTGCTGACGTGGAGGAGCTCTTCTGCAACCGCCTTGTCCAGTGAGGCTATGGAGTTCCTGGTAGTGTAAGTGGATTTTCGTGCGAACTCCACAGTTGTCTTTAACTGAGTAGGAGATGATGTTTCCTCCATAGATGTAGAAACAACCGAGGTACAATATTGTTTAATATGCCCAAAATGTCCACAAAGCATGCATATTAAGTTTAAGCCTTCATACTGAATTGTTTGTCTATGGTGACCTATATTCACATGGGTTTTCAAAGGCTTTTCCAGCGGTACTTCGATACATATTCATGCGTATCTTCCCCTAGAAGTAGACGAAGTGCAAGAATCGATCTTTAGTAGTTTACCCAGTTTTGACCCAACTCTTTGGAGAATTTCCAAATCATAGAATTTAGTAGGAAGCTCAGGAAGCCTCATCCACAAAGCTGAGTACATGAGTTGAGTAGAAGATGCTATAAATTTTGGCTCCCACCTACGGACAGATAGAAAATGGTTCAAAATGAACCAAGGACCACCATATAGTGATGTCATCATATTCTCTTCTTTTTTAAACTTTATAAGAAAAAAATCAAATCCTAGATCAATTAGAGACAGTTCCTCAGTCGGCTTCCAAAGGTTAATGAGCTTGTTTCTCAGAATATGATGTGCAATCTTACGTCCAAACAGTTTTATTATAACTGAATATTTCCAAGGTTCGTATAAACGCGATTTATCATTCGCACTGATGGGAATAAAGTTATCATCGTTGTCAGCCTGTAGGAGGAGTTCGTCAGTTAAGATAGCATCAGAGGTTATGTTACTAAGATTTTCTGGATTTGGTGAAAGGTGTTTATCAAGTAATAGGGTTTGTAGGAAGGTTTTTGGTTGAGAAGTTGTGTTTATATCATCTATTTGCATAGATCCTATATCAGGTGGTTCAACTCGCTGTTGTTGTTGATCTGGCATTTGGGATTGCTGTGGATTCATGTTATGAGTAGGTGATAATATCACAGGGTAAGTGAAGGTACTTTAGAAGACAGTTTGGCAAACAGAGGAAAAAAACGAGAGTATTTACATTGGTGTATTTTTACCTTTCTTGTTAAACGGTTCACAAATGAATTTAAGTTATATATAATGAAATTATAATTTTTTTGCACTATCAATGCAATAAACCCAATTATATCAAGTTATTCTTCTATTTTTTAAGTTACCATATCAGACTTGCTATAATGAGTTACATGTTATTGCGGATCAGAAGGGGAGCCTTGGCGTAACTGGTAAAGTTGTTGCCATGTGACCAGGAGGTCATGGGTTCGAGCCATGGAAACAGCCTCTTGCAGAAATACAGGGTAAGGCGGGTGCGTATGATAGACCCTTAGTGGTCTGGCCTTTTCCCTGACCCCACGTATAGCGGGAGTTTGGTGCACCAGGCTGTTCTTTTTTATGTTATTGCAGATCAATTTAACATGATGCGGTGGCGGATCTAGAGTATTGTTACTGGTTTTCGAAAACCCTGTAAGTTTTGCATTACGTTATATTTCAATTAAGAAATCCACTAAATATTTAAAAATATTTAATTGTGAACCAAGTTATTATTATATATTAATTTGAGATTACGGTAGGAACCCATAAACTTTATGGATCCGCCTCTGACATGATAGTGTAAGAAAAACTTAGTTAGTGCTTAGAACTTAAACTCAATTAAAATGACTTCACATTCAATTTAGTTCCCTTTTTTCTTTTATTTACTATTGTACATCATCCTGTTGAGAATTATTTGTTGATTAATCTCTCAAATCTGTTAAAGTCCCTTGGTGTTCTCAAACCTGCTGCAACTGGAGAGTTTGACACATTTTCATGCAAATTGAGTTTACTTCAGCCAAAAGATAGAGAAATTGATGTTAATTGCGGCATTTCCAGGCTCAAGTATTGGGCAAATACAAGTTATATTGTTTCGCAATATGGTTGAAAATTATAGATCTACCGTTAACAGAATCGGAGTCAGAATTTTATGTTTATGAGTTCGAGATTCTAATCGTTTTAAATTATTGGGTTCTAAATTAATAATTTTTATATATTTAATAAAAAATTTAAGACAAATACAAGGTTCGAACCAAAGCTATTAGATTCGATTGAACCCTCCTGACACTCTAGCTCCGCCCCTCATAGTTAAGTTTCCTCCAAGTAAAGATGATGAACATCATTCAGGCAGCTAAATGCCTTTGAGTTTACAATAAGCATACAATCCAGATCCCATAAAGCCAACACATTGGCCAACAACATTCAACTGTCATTAAGAAAATGGTAATATATATCAGTAATTGTATAAACTAATAGTAAATTATTGAAGTGTATTGATTATACTAACCAGATCAAATGGAAGTTCTCTGAATACTATCCAGCCGAATCCAACAGTAAAAAAGTCCTGCATATGAAGTCATTAGTTGTTACAAAAAAGCACATATGAAAAAATCAACCAAAAAGAAAAACTAATCTAAAGGGGCTTTGTTCATTTTCAATTCTAATAATTGAAAGAATGTATATTTTTTAACTGTGCACAAAACATCCAACATTCACGCAGGGAGGGGGAAAGGGCCGCACCCTAAGGGGTGTGATGTAGACAGACTACCCTAATGCAAGCATTAGTGGCTGCTGCATTCACGTAGGGTCCAAGGAAGGGCCGCGCCCTAAGGGGTGTGATGTAGACAACCTACACTAATGCAAGCATTAATGACTGCTACATTCACGCAGGGTCCAGGGAAGGGCTGTACCTAAGGGGTGTGATGTAGACAGACTACCCTAATGCAAGCATTAGTGGCTGCTTCCACGGCTCGAACCCGTGACCTATAGGTCACACAGAGACAACTTTACCGTCGCTTCAAGACTGCATACCTTTCATAAAGGCATTAAGATATTACACACCTTGAGATTTCCGCAGATTGTTTGTGTTAGTGCTGAATTGATAGTTGTATTTAGGAATACACAATAGTTCAATAAGAAAGCCAGAACACATGATAGAAAAATCACAGCCTGCAAAGATATGAAGCAAGGAATTCAGTTAGAACATTAATATTCATTCACTGTTTCTGTGCAAATCAAGAAGCTAAGTTCTATTGGCTCAAGAAAATGAACAGAAAGAAAGGCAGAACACATTTAGTGAGTAACAAGAAAAGCTTATGTTATACTTCAGCTCATGCTAACAAACTTTTCCAACAACGGCGGAGCCAGGATTTGAAGTTTATGAGTTTGGGATTCTGGTCCTTTTAAGTTAATGAGTTCTAGATTAATAATTTGTACATATTTAATGATTTTCTTATGACAAATACAGAATTTGGACAAAAGCTAGTGAGTTTAGCCGAATCCGTAACCACTGTCTTCCAGCAACCCTAGTGCTAGATCTATCCTCACATAGGTATGGACAATGAAGTTATGTTCATAATTCATGATAATGTGATGTTAATTCCTCTTGAAAGTAACTAGCAAATCTCTCTTCATGTGATTTAAATCCTCTTGGAAGTTACTACCAAATCTTTCTTCCTGTGATTTTCTTTCTTCAAGGTAGCTTCTCTATAGAACTTCTCAAACAAGACATAAGTAGTGGCTAATATCCACATTTTCCATTTGCCAATGGCGGAACTACAAGTATTTCATGAAAGTGAGAACACCATAACCGCATATGAAGGGCGTATTCGCTTCGTTAAAGATTAAAGGGGGAGACAGACAGAAGAAAAAATATAAGTTAAATTAGAACAGAGTGACAGCAGCAAAATTTAGAACTACTAGTAATGTTTACAACTGTCGTAGCAGTAAAGTGCATGTTTTCCAAGTTAAGGATGATACACTTGACAGATGAATTTGGCATTTGGGTGCGGCCCTTTCCCGAACGCGGGATGCCTTGTGCACCGGGCTACTCTTTTTTTAGTGTTTATTTTAGATCAAATTTTAGTTACATTAGTCAATAGACATTTTATCAAGAATTACGAACAGCAAAGACGATTACATCTTGAAGTATCTACGTTAAAGCTAAAGAAACAAGACATTAGCCAGCACAGAACTATTATACAGAGATTTTATTAAAATAAGTACCTGAAAGCCAGCAGTATACAAATATGGAAAATTTGTCGTAGCTTCTAAGTCGCCTCTGAACGCTGTCCAAAGTAGCAAAATTGGTGTACATATTATACCTGCAGAGAGTCTCACATTGTCAAATCAGGCAGATTGATGTCCTTATCGATCCGTTACATACAGTCAATATAATGGTAGCATTTTCTTACCATTACACCACATCAGGCCAAAGCTGTTAAGGCCACTGGATTCTCCTAAATTGGATAATAGAAACATATAAAAAAAGTTGTCGATGAAATTCATAAAGAGACATCGCAGAAGAAATAAAGCAAAAAACTAAAAATACCAATGTTAGCTATACAAGCCAAGTATACTGCTGTAGTTATGTTGGAGACGAGAACGATAGTATAACTGTAGTAGTCAAACGATAGGTCTCGAGCTCCAGCAACAAACGCGCCAAGTATGATAATTCCTACACTGATGAGACCCTTGTAAGTGTTTTCATAAAGACACCAAATTAAAATACTATGTAATAACTAGGTACATTTCTTTATATCTGTGTATATATATGAAAAAGGAAGCTATAGCTAGAATGATTTCTCACCATGTAACAACATACGATGAATGTTTTTTCCCTGTCAAAAAATACTCTGCTAACATTGTGAAAAAAACAGTTGTTCGTCTCAAAGTGGTATACATAGGGACGCTAATTCCACGAATAGATTCCATAGAGACCAGCTGTCAGCGAAAAGAAAAAATTGCAGATTTTACTTAAGAAACAACTGAAAAGCTAAGAAGAAACACTACACAATAAGAAGATCAACAAGAGGAATTAATACTTACCATGTAAAGCAAATATGATAACGCGACAGGAGTACAATGAAGTACTGTCTTAAATGGTACAAGGTTTGTCGTGTGCTTAACCACAGTATGTGAATCCTGAACCGTGAAAGATATAAATTTCCAGCGTCTCAAAGCATAGAGAATCAAACTTGAACTTAGCATCTGCACATTGAATTGAAAAATTGCTTTACCTTACAAGCGTGAAATTATCAAATCTTGCTTTCCTACAAAATCAGTGTCGTTCAACTAAATATAGTTCCGATTTTAGCAGTATCTTAGTATAGTGAGCAATGTACACTGCAGTTCAACGATTCAAAACGGGAAGAATTTTGGATCAAGAAAATTGTATGACTAGACTAATTAAGGTGCACAATGCCTTTCAAGATCATGTTTGCAACACGTTGTTAGAAGGAAAGCCTGACGCACTAAGCTCCTGCTATGCACGGGTCTGGGGAAGGGCCGGAACACAAGAGTCTATTATATGCAGCCTTACCCTACATTTTTGCAAGAGCTGTTTCCACGGCTCGAACCCGTGATCTCCTGGTCACATGACAGCAACTTTACTAGTTACGCCAAGACTCCCCTTCTTGCTAACACGATGTTATTCAAGCCAAAAATACCCCAATGCATAAGACACACACACACACTCTAAGATTTACATAGAAATGATTATCACCAGGAGGCTGAAAGAGCTAAATCTATCATTTCTGCGACACGAGCTCATAATCTAAAGTCAAATATGTTAGTTAGAATGTGAAGAATCTAGTTGTCCAAAACGCTTAAATTGGTAAGACAGAAAGTACTATGTGACGAATTGTCAAGTGAGTTACTGGCAACAATCCCTACTACAAAAACAGGAACTAGCGACAAATAAATAGAAAAATCTGTTACTAATCTGATTTAGCAACGGATTAGTGACAGATTATCAAGAAATTCTATTAGCTACCAACGATTTAGCGACAGATCAGCGACGGAGTTCGTAGTATATTTTTTCTCTTTTTTTTTCTTTTTTTTTTTTTGTAGTGAATACAAGATAGATAACTTAGTCAAGCATGTATAGCAGATAACAGAACCAGACT